GTCTATGTTCTAGGGCTTCTCTTGCAGATCTACAGTCTTATTCCATGTTGTCAGATAGCCTACAAGGAATTTTTTCAGGTTTCCTGTATTTCTTAAGAGTTGCTATGTGACCTAAAATATTATGTTTTAGAAAAAGTTCTGTGGGATGCTTTGTACTGTGGGAAACATGTATTCTGCAGTGTTTGAATAGGATGTTCTGTAGATGTCCAATCCATTTGATCTCTGGTGTCATTTCATTCAGGCATCTCTCCATTTTCGGTCAGGATGACCTGTGTCTTAGTTACTGTTTTCTATTGCTGTGATGAAACACATGACTAAGGCTGATTATAAAGGAGAGCATTTAATTGGGAGCTTGCTTCAGTTTCAGGGGTTAGTTCGTGATCACCATGGCAGGGAGTGTGTTGACACTCAGGCAGGCGTGGTGCTGGAGCAGCAGTTGAGAGCTTACATCTGATCCACAGGCTGGAGGCAGAGGAAGCAGGACTGGGGATGGCATAGGTGTTTGAAACTGAAAACCACCCCCAGTGATACACCTCCTCCAACACGGGGACACTGCCTAATCCTCCCCAAATAGTTCCCCTAACTGGGTGGGGACCAAGCACTCAAATATATGGGGCTATGGGAGCCATTCTCACTCTGCCGGTGAATAAACACAGGGTACAGAAATCTTCACTGCCATTAAGCTGAGGTCAATCTGTGCCTGGTGTCGGAGTTCCTTCTGTTTATGTGTTGATTTCATTGGTTAAATAAAGAAACTGCCTTGTCCTAGTTGATAGGGCAGAACTTAGGTAGGTGGAGTAGACAGAACTGAATGCTGGGAAGAAGGGCAGAGTGGCAGACGCCAGGGGTCTCCTGCCTGAGATGCACACTGGTTAGAATCTTGCCGGTAAGCCACAATCATGTGGCGATACACAGATTTAAGATGTAAGAATTAGCCAGTGAGAAGTTAGAGCCAATGGACCAGGCAGTGTTTAAATAAATATAGTTTCTGTGTGATTATTTAGGGTGTAAGCTAGCCAGGCAGCTGGGACAGAACAAAGGGACCCCTCTCCGTGCACCATGTGGCTTCACCTTTAGTATTTGCTCTGTAAAACTGAGTGTGCCTGTGTTCAGAGTGTGCATGTTTAGAACTGTAGCGTGCTCTTGATTGGGCATTTGCTCAGTCAGTATGAAGTGATCATCTTTATCTTTTTCCTTACTAGCGCTGGTTTGACGTCTACCGCATCAGACACTAAATGTTTGTTTTCTAACTTCATTTTCTTGAAATGTCTTTTTTTCTATCATTTTGCCATTAAGGAGTGCCTGTCTTTTGTGTGATGAGGCTACACATAGAGTTCCTGCTTTTTGTTATTGTTTTCCTCGGCAGTCTGTAGAGTCCCTTCTATCTCCCGCAGAGCTGCCTTTATGGCCATAAATTCCTCTCATCTATTTTTATCATGGAGAACGCTTAGTTTTCCTTTAATTATGACAGCTTTGCTTGGATTACTATTCTGGGCTGGCAGTTGCTATCTTTCAGAACTTGACATACATCATTCCAAGCCCTCTGGCTTACGGGGTTCACTCGAGTAATCTGCTACATTCTAATGAACCTGCCTCCAGACTCTGTGTTTCCCTCCTGCTGCTTTCAGGACACTTTTGTTTTGTTTCTTTAGTGTTTTAGTTACGTGACACATGGGGGGTTCCTCTCTGGTCTTGTGTCCTTGCGGTTTAGTGTCCTGGAACTAGCTCTTGTAGACCAGGCTGGCCTCGAACTCACAGAGATCCGCCTGCCTCTGCCTCCTGAGTGCTGGGGTTCAAGGTGTGCGCCACCACCACCTGGCAATAATTTATATTGTCATTGCTTTGTGTGCGCTCCTTATGAGACTACATTAGGATTTATGTAGCTTGTGTTACTTCTTCACTTGGCTTAATTTTTTTAATGGTTGAAATTATAATAATTTCTCCCTTCCCTTTTCTTTCCTTCCACTAAACCTTCCCATATACACCTCCTTGCTTGCTTTCAAATCCATGGCCTCTATTTTTCACTAGTTGTTATTGTCTACATATATGTACACACATATATATTTTTAAATATAGCCTGCTCAGTTTGTATGGTGTTATTTGTATGTTTGTTGTGGGGGCTCAGTTTGTATGGTGTTATCTGTATGTTTGCTGTGGGAGCTGATTGTTTAGTTTTGGATAACTGACTGATGGACTTCGGTTGTCTTGGCTTAGGTTTTACCAGTTGTATTTTTTTGTTTGTTTGTTTGTCTTTTGAGACAGGGTTTCTCTGTGTAGCCCTAGCTGTCCCGGAACTCCGCCTGCCTCTGCCTCCCCGAGTGCTGGGATTAAAGACGTGCACCACCACCCCACTGCCACCACCCGGCCAGCTCTAGTCTTTTAGTTAGTGTTTTTTCAGACTTGGTTGTGATTGTGCTAAGTGTGCAGTCCGCAAACAGCTGCTCAGACCAGGCGTTTCCTGGCCTGGTACCAGCTCTCCTTTCCGGCCTGTCTCAGTGAGGGGTCTGTTGCTCTGACCATGGAAAATGGAGGAGGAGAGGGTTCCTTTCAGCTCCCAGCTCCACACCGCAATCCATCACTGCAGGGAGTAAGGGTGGAAGTGTTGAGGTTTGAGCTGGTACAGGAGCAGGGAAGGCCACTTACACTCCTCATGGCTTGCTCAACCTGCCTTCTTCAGCGCCCAGGCCCACCAGCCCAGGGGGAGCAACACCCACAGTGAGCTGGGCCCTCCCACATCATTCATCAATCAGGAAAATGACCACAGGCTTGCCCATAGACCTATCTGGTGGGGGCATTTTCTCAGCTGAGGTTCCCTTCCCCAAGGTACTCTGATTTGTGTCAAATCGATATAAAGTAGCCAGCCCACATCCTCAGTACACAATTAGGTGGGAAAGAAACCACAGCTACTTTCTGTTACCATTGTATGCCGTTGTCCTATGAGCCAGCTACCAGTGGCTCCTCAGACTTGAGTAATGCTGGAAAGGAAAAAGCCAAGGACCACTCTCTGACAGTAGCTAATGCACCCCAGGCTGTTCTTGAACTCAGTATGTAGCTGATGATGGCCTTGAATTCTTGCTTTTCCTTCCTTCCATATTGAGATTATAGGCATTTACCATGGATGCAGGGCTGAGAATTGAACACAGGCCTTCACAAACTCTAGGTGACCACTGACCAACTCACCCATATCCGCACATATGTGTTGCTAGGGTTTAATTCAGGCCTGTGCTAAGGTAAGGATACGCACAATGCTAAAATCCAAAATTTATGCAGCCCTAAAAAGGATTCTCTCAGGTGTGGTGGCACATACCTGAACCCCAGCATTCAGGAGAGAGGCAGGAGGAGCCCCAGTTTGAGGCCAGCTTGAGAGTGTAGTGTGTAGGCCATCTAGACAGCTCAGTAGGCAAAGGGTGTTGGCTGCCTGGTGTTGTGGCCTGAGCTGGACCTCCTGGACCCATGTGGTAGGAGACAACCTTCCTCTGGCCTTGAAAAGCATCCCCATATACAAATAGAGACATAAATATGTAACATCTTGCCCCATGGTTAAGATCAAGCTGGGAATGTAGGCTGGTGATAGAGCATGTGCCTAAGACATATGAAGTCTTCGATTCACTCCTCACCACAGGCTAGCAAACACATATGCACACACACATACACACATTCATGCGCGCACACACACACACACACACACACACACACACAAAATTAAAAGGGAAGCTAGCGAGATGGCTCAGCAGGTAGAAGTGCTGCCAAACCTAACATCATGAAGTCCATCCTTGGGTACCAAACAGTGAGAGAAGAGAACATACTCCTTTAAATGGTCCTCTGAGTTCCATATATATTGTAATGTCACTGTCCCTACATGCATAATAATAATACTAATAATAAATAGTAATAAATCCCTTTTTTAAAAGTTTGGGTATGATGACATATAACTTTACTCCCAGCACTGGGGAGGCAGAGGCAGACAGATCTCTGTGAGTTCAAGGCCAGCCTGGTCTACAGAGTGAATTCTAACACCCTGTCTCAATTTTTTTTTCCTTTGTGTTAAGATGGTAAATTTAAGGCTACACATTTGTCACCTCAATTAAAAATAAAATAAAATCAGGAAAAAAAGGTCAGACTTTATTCTAAAAGCACTGGAGGAGTCTTTCAGTCAGTGTTCTACTGCCGTGAAGAGACACCATGATCAAGGACACCGGAGCCTTGCTTACAGTTTCAAAGGGTTAGTGCCTTATCACAGCAGGGAGTGTGGTTCTGGAAGGCTAGCCGAGAGCTTTACATCCTGATCTGCAGGTGGGGGGGGGGGAGGGGACCCAGACTGGGGCTGGTAAGCCCAGCCCAGTGACACACCTCCTTCAGCAACCCTTCTCAAATAGTGCCACTCCCTGGTGACTAGTCAAATATATGGGGGGGGGCATTCTTTTTGTTGTTGTTGTTGTGTTTTGTTTTTAGTTTTTTGAGACGGAGTTTCTCTGTGTAGCTTTGGAGCCTGTCCTGGAATTCCACTCTGTAGACCAGGCTGGCCTTGAACTCACAGAGATCCACTTGCATCTGCCCCTGCCTGAGTGCTGGGATTTAAAGTGTGTGCCATGCCGGGCGATGGTGGCGCACGCCTTTAATCCCAGCACTCGGGAGGCAGAGGCAGGCGGATCTCTGTGAGTTTGAGACCAGCCTGGTCTACAGAGCTAGTTCCAGGGTAGGCTCCAAAGCCACAGAGAAACCCTGTCTCGAAAAAGCAAAAAAAAAAAAAAAATAAAAAGAATAAATAAAAAAAATAAATAAAAATAAAATAAAGTGTGTGCCACCACTGCCTGGCAGGGGCCATTCTTATGCAAACCACCACAGGAGCATTCTCCGTGCTTTCAGGAACCTCCCCCCTCCCCCGTTCTAATGGCCCTGTCATCCCTACCGCCAAGTTAACCATCAGCGGCAGTGGCCCCTGTCTTTCCTCTGGTGTCCAGACTGCTTTGCTAACCACCTTTGGATGTCTCTGTCCCTAGATGGTGAGAGTTGTGTGTCCTTTGGCATCACATCAAGTTAAGCTCCGGGCACGGCACCACGGGTTCGCTGTGATGGTCCGAAGCTTCAGGAGCCTTCTGATAGACAAACACAGCAGCAAGCCTCAGCAGAGGGAGAGGATGGCTGTCTGAAAGCTGAGGACAGACCCTTGAGAAGAAACCACCCCCACGGACACCGCGAAGCTGGACTTCCAGGCTCTGTCACAGTAAGGAAACTGTTTCTGTCATTTAAGCCACGTACCTCTGTGGTGTTTGGGATGGAAGTCCCTGCACACTGAAGAGTCTGTGTTCAGAAAATGAACAGAAAGGGCTCACCTCAAGGCTCCCTATTGGGAATTAATTCTCCACTCTCAGCAGAGAGACAGGAGCACAGCAGAAGGGGGCTGTCCTCTGTGCGTTCACGTGTGGCTCGCTCCTGTGGCAGTGGACATGTGATGCTGGGGACAGCTCACCCTCCAGGTCCCTGTGAGTACTAGAAGGGGCAGGAGGGTGGTCAGTCTTTAAAGCACGAGGTAAAATCATTTACTAACTATCCACCGGAAGCATCAGGATGATATATCTACATTAGCCATAAGAGTGGTTTGACTCAGAGTTATTCTGTGTCTAACAAAGACGGTTTATCTTGGCTTTGAAAGTCTGAAGATCTCCACAGTCATCCTTGTCCTAACATGCAGAAACAGCTGGCTCTCAGTGAGCTGTCTCATTAAAAGAATCCACAGGACTACCTATTATTAGTGTATTATTTTCCTCGGTGCTACAGCTACTTTGGCATCTGTTTTACTGTTGCCATGGGAACTCAGGCCCATAATCAGCAGTTCTTTTCCCTCTGAATATTAGGCTTAATAAAAGGCAGTTCTGATGAGGTGAGGAGTTCGCAGTGCCCAGCCAGAGGTCTGGCAGAAGCATCCTGTTGCAAGCAGTTGCAAAATTAACCTACATGGTTCTTTGTTACCCTGGCCTTGGACTAAGCGGACTTTGAGTGGTCAGCCAGACTTGCATGAGGACCTGGGGTGTACTTTATGATGGGGTGCTTATTTAGAAAATGAAGTTTCTCCCCCCTCACACCCTTCTTTTACCTGGATTGATCTCAGTAAGAGAAAGATGCGACTTTTAAGAATGGACATGGGGCCTCTGGTGCTCTAGGTCTGAAAGATGCGACTTTTAAGAATGGACATGGGGCCTCTGGTGCTCTAGGTCTGAAAGATGCGACTTTTAAGAATGGACATGGGGCCTCTGGTGCTCTAGGTCTGAAAGATGCGACTTTTAAGAATGGACATGGGGCCTCTGGTGCTCTAGGTCTGAAAGATGCGACTTTTAAGAATGGACATGGGGCCTCTGGTGCTCTAGGTCTGAAAGATGCGACTTTTAAGAATGGACATGGGGCTCTGGTGCTCTAGGTCTGAAAGATGCGACTTTTAAGAATGGACATGGGGCCTCTGGTGCTCTAGGTCTGAAAGATGCGACTTTTAAGAATGGACATGGGGCCTCTGGTGCTCTAGGTCTGAAAGATGCGACTTTTAAGAATGGACATGGGGCCTCTGGTGCTCTAGGTCTGAAAGATGCGACTTTTAAGAATGGACATGGGGCCTCTGGTGCTCTAGGTCTGAAAGATGCGACTTTTAAGAATGGACATGGGGCCTCTGGTGCTCTAGGTCTGAAAGATGCGACTTTTAAGAATGGACATGGGGCCTCTGGTGCTCTAGGTCTGAAAGATGCGACTTTTAAGAATGGACATGGGGCTCTGGTGCTCTAGGTCTGAAAGATGCGACTTTTAAGAATGGACATGGGGCCTCTGGTGCTCTAGGTCTGAAAGATGCGACTTTTAAGAATGGACATGGGGCTCTGGTGCTCTAGGTCTGAAAGATGCGACTTTTAAGAATGGACATGGGCCTCTGGTGCTCCAGGCAAGAATGCTGTGCTGGACTTTGTCTTCACCTTTTTGTGTGTTGTTTTGTTTGTTTTGTTTTTTTCATAGTGTTTAAATTTTGAGACAAGATCTTGCAAAGTTGCTTAAGCTGCCCTTAAACTTGCCCATCAGCGTAGGCCTTGATCTCAAGATTCTCTTGTTGCCTCCACACTAGCGAAGGTGACAGGCCCGCACCGCCAAGCCTGGCTCAGAGGCCATACTCTCTGTTCGTTCGATTTTATAAAATTTAGTTTTGATGTTATTATTGTTTTTTAAAGATTTATATGCTTTATGTGGATGAATGCTTTATTCATGTGTCTGTCTGACGACTGCAGAGGTCAGGTGAGGGCTTCAGATCTCCCATAACTGGAGTTAGGGATGGCCGTGAGCCGCCACATGGGTGCTGGGAAAGGAACCGCGGTCCTCTGCAAGAACAACAAATGCTGTTAATCGCCGAGCCAACTCTCCAGCCCGTTATTTTTGTTCTTTTTAGTTGTGTGTGGGGGTGTGTCTGCTTGTGAATGCAGTGCCCACAGAGGCCGGAGGTGGGGCTCCTGGAGGTGGAGCTACTGCAGTTGTGAGCCACCGGATGTGGGTGCTAAGAACTGAGCTCTGAAAAGGAATACTTGCTCCCAAGCACCACGCCATCTCTCTAGCCCCCTCTTATGTGGGTGTTGTTTGGTTGGTTGATTTGTTTTGTGTTTGTTTTTGTTTTGTTCTTGGTGTCTTGTTTTATTTTTAAGTTTTTGAGACACGGTTTCTCTGTGTATCCCTGACTGCCCTGGAACTTACTATGTAGACCAGGCTGGCCTTGAACCTGGAGATCCTCCTGCTTCTCTGCCTCTCGGAGTGCTGCTATTAAAGACTGGTGCCTCCCCTGCCCACCTGTTTGTTTTTTGAGACAAGGTCTCACTATGTAACATAGGTTGGCCTCAAAGTTATGGAAATCCTTCATCTTCAGGTTCCCAAGGGCTGGAGTTAGAAATATGTGCCAGCACACCCTGAGAAAGGGCTGGAATTAGAAATACCAGCACACCCCGAGATGCTGTCAAATCAGGGAAAGGATAGATTTAAGCATTATAGACAACAAAGGTTCTCTCCACTTTTTAACCAGTCAATAAAAGTAACTATGTATTTACTTTTATATTATGGGATATTTGGAAGCCATAAATCTTGTCTTCTTAAAATATACATTCCCTGTAAAATATTTCAGAGCAATATTAATTAATTTAATTAATTTTAGTGCGATACAGCCCTTGAATGCGGCACAGAAATCAAGAAGTCTCAGTGAAACACTAGTCTTTTTTTTTCCCCTGGTTACAGGTGACCACAATCGTTAACGAATTTCATTTGTTTCTCCCCCTTGATGTAGTTCAAGCTGGTCTCAACGACTGATTGGTACGTAGTTGCCAGGGATGACCTTGAACTCTGATCCCCCCTGTTTCTTCCTACCAGGTTAGGCATAGTGGGTACCACCACGCCAAGTTCCTTTGTACTATTCAGAGATGCTCTTTGTGATGCAATGCATAATGCACTCTCACGAATGAACACACAATGGGAGCATGTTCTACATGTACGTGCCTCACTTTGCCTTTTCTCTGTGTATGGATACCTTTCCTATCTCATTATATAAAATTCCCACTGTGACCTTATTTATAGATTACTTATTGTGAGCTGGAGGCATCGTGTGAGATCCTGGCAACAACACAATTCTTACTCTTTGGAAACAGACTCCTTTAGTTCAGAGTGAAAGGTACCTGGGGCATCCTGCCCTTGTCAGCTTGACACACAACCACGAAAGCACACTCCTTTCAGGGGCCCAATGCTGCAGTTGATCAGGAGGGAGAGGAGCAGGACGTGCAGACATCTAGATGGGCTCAGATGTGTCATTAAGGGGCGAGCCTCCAGGTGGGCAGGGAGAACAAAGTCATTCTCTGTCGAGGGAGCAGGAAGTACCACGTCCTATGGTAGAGAGTCGGAGAGAAACGTTGGGTTGGAGGGAAGACTGCCAATTAGGCGAGATGATGGTTCTCAAACCTTTGACCACAACTCACAGCTAACACTTCACATAACCACACAGTGTGTGCGAGCTGGAATACGATCGTGCAGGCACATGTAAGCACGTAGAAAGAACATCAGACAATACCCCTACTAAATGTACTCAGGCATTTTTCTGCTCAGTTCCAGTTAGTTGTTTTCTAAATGCTAGTCGTGACTCTCGGGGCGGGTTTTGAAAACCACTAATAGGTACCATCTGCAAGCTGGGAAACTCTGGGTTATAATATGTCTGAGGACTCCGATTTCCAGGCCGGTGAGATAGCTCAGCGGGTGAGGGCACTGGCTGCCAAGCTTGATGAACCGAGTTTGATCTGAGAGCCTGCATGACCTGGGAGATAATTAACTCCTGCAGGTTGTCTTCTGACCGCCGCAAAATATGTCACCAAGAGTCAGTAAGTTTATCTGAACATTGATTATTTAAGACTGGTGTGGCGGTGTGTGCATGTACTCCCAGCATTGAGGGGCCTGCGGTAGCAAAATTTCTTCCCTTCCTTTCTTCCCTCCCTCCCTCCATCCTTTCCTCCCTTCCTCCCTTCCTCTCTCTTCCTCTCTTCTTCTCCCCTTCCCCTCTCTTCCTTTCCCCTCTGTTTCTTCCTCCCTCCCTCCTTCTCTCCCTCTTCCCTCTCTCCCCCCCACTCTCTCTGTCTTTTGTGTTTTGAAAAGGAGTCTCTCTAATGTGGCTCTGACTGTCCTAGGACTTGCTATGTAGAGAAGACTGGCTTCAAACTCACAGAGATCCTCCTGCCTCTGCCTCTGCCTCTGTATGCGCCACCACTCCCAGTTTGAGACAGAAAGATTTTCAGTTTGAGGCTAACATAGATTGGACAGTGAGATTCAGGTCAGTCTGAATTATATAATTAGACTCTCCAAACAAAACAAAGGAAAAAGAAAAGGGGAAAGAACCATTCTGCTTGTTGTGCAGAGAATTTTTGTATTTATTTCACTGGGACAGGCAGACTGAACTCTGACTTGCATCTCTGACCCTTGGGAACATCTTTGCTGCTGCTGTTGAGTGTGACCACCTCTCAGAGCTTGGCCATCCCACCTTTAGAGAGCCAGCCTGGTCACGCTTGTGGTCACCAAAACTGAGTGCCAGGTCCTGACCCCAGAGTGCCTTATCAGGTAATGCTCCATTCCCATGCCCCCCAACTTAGCAAACACCTTGCCCTCCCCTGTGTCCCTGCAACAGAAAGGTTTCCGAGTGCCTTAAGATGTGCTCGGTCATGTGCTGTTGCCTGACCT